CTTAAGTTTTTTAGGAACAAGATACATGAACTTCGCTTATATTGTATGAACTACTTTGTAGTCGGACCAAATAATTTGAAGTTGAGGACTACGACACACAACCTGAGTCTGACATTTACTCAAAAGACATTTGTTGAGGAAACAAATGATCCTTCATTTCATATGAACATCTTTAACTTGCGCCCTTTTGACCAACTAACAAATCAACATGATGTAGATGAGACATAATTACTCGGTAATTCTTTTTTTCATTTTTAATGAACTAATGGTATTTGTAAAACTATGTGACTAACTTTTATATTTATAGATGTTGTTGGTCAGGTTGTGACCTATGAAGATGTTAAGACCTACAAGCAAGGAGACGACCAAAGTGTCTTTATTAATGTTGTAGTCGAAGATGATCAGTAAGTACTTCAAAAATAGAAACAATACTTTACAGATAGATTACCTATATATGTGTTTATTAACCTTACCATGAAACGTATAGGAGGAACAGGATATTGGCAACCTTATGGAGCGAACTTCCTGTTCAGGTCTGTGACCAGTGCCCCAACGTGAAGTTTGAAAGGGAGGGCTATCACATTACTGTGGACATTGAGAAAGGAACGCGAGATGGTCAGGTGAGCTTTCTTCTACATTTTTGACTTGCATGCTTGATACTGTTTGTTAAGCTACTTACATTCTTTATTTGTTTGTCAATGATCCCTTTCTGTATGTAGATNATTGGTATCAGACAAAGATATGGATAATTATACGTTGCCGTAGTCTATTGACTTTAAATCCAGGTTTGTCAAGTGTATAATCCTTTTCTATATGTACCCAAAATATAGCAATAGTATTTATAAATTACAATTTTTGACTTATGCAGATTACTTGCAGCACGTCAATCAAACATTGAGCGAATCACTCGAACAAGTTCTCAGCAAAGTTACTCTGTTAGAGATGAGTTAGACAAAGGAATTGTATTGTTTAAAACTATTAGGGATTTAGTTCAGTGCACGCAAGTGAGTTTAATTTACTTTCTCAATTATATTTACCTTATGTTTTCTATTTTGCATTTACAATAATTGTTTAGTTTTTACTCAATAGGAATGTAGCTATTGGATTGCGGCAAAATTGGTTAATTTGGAACTTGACCGGGGATGGTCATACTTGGCATGCAACAAGTGTAGTCGAAAGGTCAAAAAAGTTGGAAATAAATACTTTTGTAAAAAATGCAATGAAGAAGAATTTTCAGTTACTCACAGGTTAGTACTATTTATGTATATTTAAAATCTTCTATCTATAAAAATTATGCATAAGGTTAATCAAAATTGAGTTGCAGGTATAGGCTTCAAGTTCGTGTTATGGATGGAACCGCTTTTATCTCATTGTTGCTTTGGAATCGCAAAGCTATGCAACTTATAGGGAAGTCCGCAAAA